CCTGCCACCTTTAGAAAGGCGTCCCACACCTGACAGGCACGTACCCTGCACGACGGCCTCGCGCGTGCCACCTCAGCCCTGCCCGTAACGGTTGTGGTAGACTGACAGTGGCGGTTATACCTGCCCTGTCAGAAGTCAGAGGGCCTGGAGCAACGGAATTCAGTTATAAGGAGCTTATCCTCAAGGAACAAGGTATCTTGAATAATTAGCGCAACCTGCACTCTTAGTTTTCGTTCTCTTCCAGCTTCTTGCACACAATACTAACTTATGCATCGGAGTGTTCCTGCCGGGAAACCCCCGAGAGTTCTTCCTCTTTCCTCTCGTTTCAGGTATATCTCAGGAGCCACGCGAGCGACAGCTAGGAATGACCGGATTGTGCTACATCAATTGGTGTCGTCTGTGGTAAACGCTTCAAAAAGCCTTTCTCTCTAAACTCTTTCAGTTCTTTCCCTCTTCGAAACAATCCAACGCTCATGGCTTCCTCCAACAACGTCGGACGAAGCACGAAAATAGATAACTCCAGGGAGCAACCCCAACTTCCTACTGTCTGTATCGGACAGTTCACCGTCCCCCTCTTAGTGGACGGAATCCCCAGCTTGAACGTGCCCCTCACAATGGCACTCGTCATCGTCCCACTCCTTGGTACAGTCGGAATGACGTTCACCGAACCTTCGGTCGTGCCCCAAGCGGCCAGCCCGAACCAGCTGGAGGACCTGATGCAGTGCATGAGGGCCATGCAGGCTCAAATGCAACAGTTCCAACAACTTCAGCTCTATCAACAGCGCGTACTGCACCAGGTCTCCCAGTATCAGTATCAGCAGCAGTTCCCCCAGCTGCCCCAACCTCGGCTTCAGCAGCCTCAGCTCCCGCCTCCGCGCCCAGCCTCGCAGCAAGCCAAGTCTCACCGCCAAAGCGAGCACCCCTCCGGCCGAGGAAAGGCCCCCCAAAATCTCCCAAAAAATCAGGCCTCCCCCCACGGCAGACGGGAGAGACCGACTACCCCGATCTCGCCGCAGGCGGATAGGTCGGGAGGACCCCGGCTCGGCAGGTCTACATCGCGTCGACAGTCGAAGTTTGGAACCCGATCCTTGAAAACCAGTTCGAGATCCTGCCAACTGACTCCAAGCAGGACCCTTCTGTCTGCAGCCATCACCAACAGACCGGGCTACTCCCTGCGCAAACCATTCTGGACAGCACGAAGGTGAGCAGCACGAACGCCGAGCCCATCAAGAAGTAGAGACGCCGCCGCCGAGCTCGCCGAGCTCGCCGATCTGTCACCCGCGATTTGCCCGAGCTCATGGGCAAAGAAGAGGTAAGCTCGACCGAAGCCAAAGCTCCCCTCCTCTCGGTTCCGTCCCCCCTCTTGACAAGTATGACGGGTCATTCAACCCGAATGATCATGTAGATGCCTTTCAGTCACAGATGCACCTGGCGCGAGCCAGTGAGTCGTGCATGTGTGTGGACTTCTCCACCACTTTTAGAAGAGCAACCCGCACGTGGTACCGGAACTTGGCACCCGAGTCGATAAGAAGTTGGGCACAGTTCGCACAGGCCTTCACGTCCCACTTTGTCACCAGCAAACGGTGCCTGCGAACCAAAGAAAGCATCTTCAACGTAGCACAAAGAGAGGGAGAGTTCATCAGGAGCTATATCAAGCGGTTCAATGACGCTTGTATGCAGATACCACGCCTGGACCCCGCCGTACACCTTGCAGCAGCCAAGAAGGGCGTGACGCACAAAGAGTTCAAGTGGCACATGGTCGTCAACCAACCCACGACCATAACCGAGTTTCTAAAGCTTGCGGATAAGTTCATAGCCACCAAAGAGGAGATCAACCAGAAGGGCGAGGGCGCACCCAAAAAAAGAAAGAGAGAAGGAGAGCCTTCCAGTCAAGGGGACACCCGAAGGAAAAAGGAAACAGTTTGGGGGGCAAAGCCGGGTCAATTGTTCCGAGCTCCTGCACCGGACCGAGCTGATTATACCCCACTGAACACGAAGCGGGCCAAAATCCCGATGGCGATCAAGGATGCCCCGTACGCGAAGTGGCCACCCCGTCTGAGGGGGAATCCCAATGAAAGGAATAAGAGTCTGTATTGCAGTTTTCACAAGGACCACGATCACAGTACCGAGAGTTGTAAAAACCTCCGCGACGAGATAGAGGAGCTCATCTATCTCGTCGCGGACATTTGAGAAACTTTGTACAAAATAATAATAATAACAATAGTAATAGAACAGGTCAGCAAGGGGAGCACGGTAAAGATGCTCCCGAGTCCAGCAGCAGGCCGGCCGAACAACCGCAGAGGCAGCCTCCAGAGTAGAGGCCAGTTCGGAGGACCATCCACATGATAGTGGGAGGTTCGATCGTTGCGGGTTGCACTTCAGCAGCAGCTCGGACGTCAGTTCGTAAGGCCACCCGGGAAGAGCAGAACCCCCCAAAGCGGCCGAAGACGGGAGACCCAATTTTCTTCACAGAAGACGATGCGCGAGGAGTCCACTACCCCCACGATGACGCGCTCGTAATAAAACTAAGAATCAACGACTTTGAGGTCAGGCGTGTACTCGTCGACTCAAGCAGCTCGGCCGACATTCTGTTCAAAGTCGCGTTTGACCAGCTCCAGTTGCAGAGAAGCGACCTAAAGCCCGCAGACACTCCTTTGGTAGGCTTCAACGGAGAAGAAGTCCGGCCCCTTGGGAAAATAACAG